TCTACATTTATCCTGCATACATGCATGCATGTGTTTGTGTGTTGCAGTGAAAGCAGACAGAACCACCACTCTGGCAAGTGGCCTTTGGCAGCCTCCAGAAAGGGGGGGGCAGAAGCAGGCAGGTGAGGGAGATGATGAGGTATCAAAGGATTCTTGCATAGCACAATTTGGAGCGTATCTGCACTTCAATAAATCTGCTGAGGTTAAAATGCCTCAACTCTCAAGAGAATTAGACAGATGTGGACAGAATAAGTTTCGATACAGATACATGTGGATGTGCATCTGTATCCCTGCCAAAATCTACAGTAAGAGTGCACAAATGTTCTGCTTCACAGTCTGCACTGCCATAACATTATCAATCTCGTGCACGTAGAAAATCACGTTCTCTTTTTCCATTAAATATCTTGTCTGGTTAGAAAAAGTCCCACTTTTAACATGTAAAGAGTTTTAAATAGCTCCAAAGTGGCCGATTATTCAGTCAAAACAGGAATCATCCAAAACTCAAATTTAATTAGCGCAATTTATGTGTCGTCATCAAGAACTTAGACTCCATAATGTCGAACAACTGCTTTTCTAAAGAGTAATCCAAGCAAACACTTATTTTTTCTATTTTTCAGCAACTTATTTTTGTTTTTCTCTTTGTAACCACAGTCATTTAATCAAATGACATGCTCCGTCATCTGTTGCTGCTCACTCTTGTCTGCTTACTCACTCTGTGGCTGGCTCTTGATGATCAGAGTCCATGTGGACAATCTCGTAGCCCTCCTGCCTCAGGATGTCCAGCACGCTGTGGTTCCCCAGAAAGTGGCCTAGCAGTGAACGAAAAACAAAACAAAACAAAAAAAGACTCAAAATCAGCTTCTTGCGGCGCATGCATTTGTCTTCAAGAGTAAATCTAGCCTGGATTATGTTTCATGGATATTTACTTAAGTTGAAAGCGCTCAATTATTATATAGTGAACAAAACTTCCATAAATTTTAGCTTTGTTTTCATTGCGGTGCTGAACATACCAATAATGTTTGTGTGGCCCTTGATCTGAACTCTTATTTTCTAACAACTGTAACAGACTATATCTTCCTAACAGGCAACTATAGCTTTGGTCAAGAAATGTAAGCAAACCTAAAAGTGCTTCTATATATTTTAATGTCCATATTTGTCCGACAAATACCAGAGAAACCGTGTCAGTCTAAATTTCTTGCATTTTCTTGTGGACTGCCTCATTAAATATGATCTTTTCTCAGCCAAGTTGTCTGCAACTCAGACATAGAGCGAAGTGAAGAATCTGCAAGATAACAGGGATTGTTCAAATGAAAACTTGGTCTATCTATCGGGCACTCGACCTCTTCCCATCACCTTGCGTATGACTTCTTCAGTCTAACATCAAACATTCAGGCCCCGGCCGCATGCAGATGAAAGCTTTTTCTTTTTTCTTTTAATTTATCCCATCAGCTGATAATCCTGCATGTCAGTCAACCCAGCAATAAGCCATAATGTAGCCTGACATCACCCTCACCAACACGCACTCCCTAAGAGAGGAATTCATATTTGTGCGCAGACGTATACACATACCCGCACAC